TTTTTTTTTTTTTTTTTTTTTTTTTTTTTTTTTGACCAATTTTTTAATAGACTAAAGTTTTTAGATTTTCAGCAACTGCAAAATCAATTCAATAATTTAGATTTTAATTTAATTTAATTTTTTTTCTTTTATCAATTTAGGTTTTCAGCAACTGCAACATCAATTTCAGTTTTATTCTGCTTCTAAATAAAGTGCTTTTTATTTGAAATCTTTTTTAGCAGACTAAATAGAATAAAGAAAGAATAAATATAAAATCTTTGAAGTTGGATTATAATGAATTGCGGAACATCTGAGAAATTTGCCGGCAACGGTAGAGAATACAATTTACACTCACAATTTGTTACTGTATCATAAAAAAAAGATAGTTTTGAACAAAAAATTGTTTTTTATCTCATAAAATAATTAACTTACAAAATGTTAAAAAAAAAAATTTTTTTTCAATAGAACATTTTTACTATTAAACAGTTCAAAAAGTGTGCATTTTGTGCAAATCTTATGTTATTGCGGCTGCCGACGGCCACCGTTTCAACAACAGTTCTTCATCCCTTACTTTTTACAACTCTTAAAGGTTTCAAAATTTTTTCTCAAATACTATTCTGTTTAAAATCTTTACGTTACAGATGTTTTTCTTTCAGTTTTTAAACGTTAAACTTTGTAATTTTTTTGATTAAAAAAAGATGACAAACAGATAAAACAAACTAGGAAGAAAAATTTAGTTAAATAATTTATTTGACTATTTTTTGTAACTTGAAAGGTTTACAGTGTCACAGTGTTTTGGAGAAAATTATGTTTGTCAATATAAACGGCAGTAAAATTACCTAAATTTTTTTACTAATTTAAATCTGTTGCCTTTTTTAGTTTCAAAATATTTGGATATATAAAACTTGATACACCCAGCTATAGTAGGTACTATATTGTTACTGTTTTGCAGGATGGCCAATATTTGATTCTACTGACGGTGAAAAAACTGATGGCGACAGTCATAATGTAGATAATAGTTTTAACCTGTATCTTCTGTTTTCCTTTTATGACTTTTAAACAAATATTTTTGAATAAAAAAACTCCTTAAGCATTCATATTGTTCAGCTACTAAAAAAAAAGTTACCTATTATTTCTGAATGCTTTATAAACACAAATTTTTTTTCTTTTTTTTTTTCGCTTTTTTTTTGCAGATTATAGAGAGAAAAACGGTTGTTGATGCTGAAGAATTAGGTAACTATAAATTTTTTCTGCTTTAATATTTCTTTAACATAAATTTTTTAATTTGTTTCATCTCACTGAAACACTGATAACAGTGTTTTCAAATCTCATGTGCCTAACTAATTTAAATAACTGCTCTGAGCAAGCACTGTGATACCGTCAAAAAGAGAACCTAAAAAAATAAGAAGAAAAAAGCAAAAATTATTATGAGTTTTTGCAAGAAGATTTAAAAAATTTTATGATTTTTTTTTTATGTTTGTCACTAAACACGTCAGAGGAACATGTGTTAACTTTCTACTGTGCCTAGAAACTGTATAATTTTTTTCTAGTGTAAAATTCTCATCAATAGCTAAAGTTTTCACTGAAAGTATTGCAGAAAGAGCACTTCTTTACGGTATTTATGTTATATCAGCTGTTATTGTTTTATTGCTTACGTGTTTGATCGTAGTAAGGCGAAAAAAACACCGTCAACAACAGAAAATTCTGAAAAAACAGAGACTTTATGAGGCTGTTGTTGAAGCTAAACAAGAATTTTCTGCAACGCTAGAATCTGGTAAGATAATGCAACCGACAGGTAACGAACCGTCAACATCTCGCGGATAGTCATCGATGTATTATTAGACTGCAGTATTTCTGTATACCTATCAATTGCCATTTTAACGGCTGCAAAGCTGAAAGCAATTTCTTCTTTTTCGACTGTTGAGTATTCTTATGCATTTGTTCCTTTTTTTTTTGCTTATCTTTAGAAGATACGTTATCGTAAGAAAAAAAAAAGGAAAAAATGAAAGAAAGTTTCTCAGAATATTAAAAAATTTTATTTTGATTAAAATGGTTTTTTTGATTATGAATGATTATGTTTTAAATTTTCTTTCTTTTTGAGATATAACCTGTGATGTCGGAATTATTTCCACAAGGCTTTAAATGCCTCTGTATATGTCTTACTAGAACTGTACGCCTGTTAAAGCGGCTTGACATTCATCATTGAAAAAGTATTTTCATTCTTTTGAAGAATAAGGACTTTAAAAAAAGAGAAAACACAAATATTTGGTTGTATTTTTCAAAAGCTTTATTTTGGCGATTGTCAATATTTATTAAGTGATGCGGTTTTTTAGCTTTTTTTCTCAACTAGAATTTATATGCTAAAATTGAGCAGATATCGGTATCAATGATTAATCGGTTATTTTTCAGCTGCTGAACACAAATGATATTAGCAATAGTACTGTAAAAAAAACCAAAATTTTTTTTTTGCATTTTTAGCTATTTGCTAAGAATTATTCTGTTAGTAACCGTCAATAAGTTTGGACAACGAGAAATATTGAATAAATAAATTTTTGATAATTGTTGATAATTTTGTAGAAGTGGTTAAGTTGTGACATCAAAATAAAACAGATAATTATCAATTCTTCTATGTTTCTTCTATAAACTAGTCAAAAAAAAAAAAACAAATTTTTTTTTAAAAAACTTTACTGCAAACGATATATATTGAGTGTACAAAATTAAAATTAACAAATTTCTGATATTACTTTAACTAGTCAAAAAGTTAAACAAAAGTAAGTGCAAAAGTTTATGCATGCATCTTAGACACAAAGAAATCATTATTTTTATTGTAAGATAATGATTTTTTTTTCTGACTAATATTTAGTTTAAGACCTATATTTGTTAGTTAGATGTCAAGGGAATTATCCTTATATTTGGTAGTGCTAAACACTTTAATGTAAACTATAAACTTCTTGTCTATAAAGCAACAGTAACTAAACTTAAAATCTTTGTTTTTACTCGAAGACACATTTAGTTTTATAAAAATTTTTAAAGAATTAATGTTAGTCTGAAAAAAATTTAAAAAAGTCGACAAAACGTCTGCACTCAAGTGTTGTTTTTTTTGTGCATACTTCTTGAACTGTTTGAAAGATGTGATCTAATTGATTTGCGAAGTCTAACACCACCTTTAGCACTTTCAATTTTGTCATACAGTTCGAAAAAGTGGCTAAAAAATTGAGTAGTTTTCAAAATTTTTGAGAAAAAGCAAAGAAAAAAGAAATTGCTTAACAACAAAAAAAATCCAGAAAGTGGAAGTGTTTCACTTACTTTTCTTAATGCGTTCATACTTAAAACTGTCTAAAAGACAGTTTTTAAATGAACATTTATTATAAATCAAAGTAAATAATTTTTTAACGTAAAATGATAATTGCATATAGAAACGAGAAACTTTTTTAATTACAAGTCGATTTAGAGACCTGTCAAACAGTTTTAGCGATCAGTTAATAACAGCAGCAGGAAAAATAGCATAAAAAAGCAGTTTCAGAGTAAAACTGATACAGCATTAATTTTTGTAAAACTTTATTAAATTTATTATATTTACAAGGATTATCTTTTGGTATTTTATCGACATATGAACAATTGTTAAAATAGACAATTTATGTGCTTTGAACAAAAATAGATAGGTGAACTGTAGTATCAACATCTTTGAAACTAATGCAGAAATAACAGTTTCCAATAAGAAGTTTATTTCTATTAACTGTCGGTAATTTTCATTACTACAGTAATACAGCATCGGTGTATATTGAAGTATGATACATACCAGTGCTAAAAACAATCAAATATTTTTTTAAAAATATTTGAAAAACTAAATCAAGTTGAAAAATTTTGGTATTTTTTTTTTAATTTTCTCAATGTCAATAAAAGCAGAGATCAAAAAAAAAAAAGCGAAGAAGAACAGATAAAATACAAGTCAAAAATGACAATCAAAAATTCTGGTCAAGTTATTCACTTGAATTCTACAAAATATATAATCCTTTTTTATTTCAAAAGTTTCCACAAATTGCAAATTGCTGATTAGTAAAATAGTAAATGTAAATTTGCAGCAAATTTTTTTATAAATTTGAAAACTATATTAACAACAAATAAAATATAAAAAAAAAAATAAATAAATAGAATTTTTTTAAAAATAATACAGATGCAGATATAATTAAACAGTTTTAAAACCATTGAGTAAGAAACCATAAAAATATTAGAAAAGAAAACAGTGCAACAACAACGCTGCCTCCGTTCAGTAACTGTAACGACGGTAAACGATGTCGAGCTGTTTGACATGTTTGCCGATAATATTTAACCACTTTTGTTAAATCGTGATTAGCCACCGGTGTATAACCCAAATCATTTTTAGCTTTCTCAATTGAATAGGTATTTGTAATGGCCATCAAATTAACCTCCAGTCGTGTAAAAATTGGTTCAATACCAAACAAATGATAAAGAATTTCGGAAAGATGTGCCGCATAAACCATAATCATATAAGGTATTCGAATTTTTGGATATGGTTTTCCAATTGCTTCAAAAAAATAAACATGTCATATCAGGAGAGTACAACTGTACAAATTAATAACGTCTCAAAAAAAAAAGTAGCTGTAGTGATAGTCTACCTTGAATAAGCGGCAACCAAAATGTCATAGATCCAACAGGTCCTTCATCAACGATATTGTATACCTGACCACAAGCACGTCCTTTACTGAGTGCCGTATCGGCTAACAGCATCGCCTGGATAGCAGAAGGCAATTTTTAGTAGTTGTTTACTAGGGACAGCTACAAATTGACTACGTATCAGTGATATGCAAGAATTTCTGCATTTTATAAATGAAAGTATGTAAGTCAATAGAAAAAAAGAATAAAATATGTTAAACAAAAAAAATAGAAGAGAACAATTTACTGAAACACAGTTGTCCACATTACTGTACTGTGTTAAACAGTTTGGTGATTTCTCAAATGTTGCTGAAAAAAGGCCTTTTTCGCATAAATCCTGCAATATATTTTGCTGATAACTTTATTTCCAGTTTTTTTCTGAACTTTATCTTTTTTTTTTTTTGTTTTTTTCTAACAACTATACTTTTTTCGAAGAAAAAAATTGATTAATACTTACAATGCACTGTTTTACCATATTTGGCTCACCAGGCCCATAGATTCCACGTAATCGAAGGGCACATGTTCTAAAATCGTCGCAGTCATTTTCCAGTATATATTGTTCGGCAATCATTTTTGTTACACTATATGGCGAATAAAACTAAAAAAGTTATTTTTTTATTATACTTTTGATTTTTCTAATCTTTTCTTTGCTTTTCTATGTTAACATTGTCATGCAAACGTTTGACTGCACGATGCCTACGCTTATCGTTGATTTAACGAAAAAACAGAAAAAAGTTTTGTGGTTTTTGTTAACAATGATGAAAAAGTTTCCTTATTGTCAAAAATTTTATCTT